ATTAGGCGAATTTTCTAGCTATGTTATTGCGTTTCGACGAAGGGGAACGCTTCCTATTTGTGTACCGTACATGAAGTAGTAACCGTTCAAAATGCCAGGCGATTTCACGGTTTGGACGCTATATTGGACCGGCCTGGCACAGTTTGCCTCGATTCATGTGTTCAGTTTTTCTCACCAGGGAGCTGGTGTCTATTTTGTGATTTTCTGTTTTCTACAGGTTTGTTTATAGTTTTTCTAGCAGTTTTCAATTAATTTATGTATACAGGTATATATAGGAAAATTCCCATTCTAAGATAATAGGATATGTAGATATTATGTTAACAATGCGTTCTGCACACTGTATTTGTTTTTATGGATTCAAGCAAGATCAGCTTAGATCGACCATATTTAATTCGATTACAATTTACATCTTTTCGCTTTTAAAAGCTATTTACCATGTTTACAGCGTTGTATTTGCTTTTGTTTGTCACTATTTTTGAAAAATATACACGAAGTTGAACAGTGAAACGTAGACCTTTTCATCTCACTAATTCCGGGTGCGTTGAATAAGGTGAGTAGTGTTAGCCTAGTGTCACGCAACAAGGGTTTAAAGTGATACTCGACGCTTGAACTTTTCAGATAACTTTAATTTTTCTGTATTTCAATTTTTAGCCCATTTTATTGAACATCCCAGAGTGTAAAGGAATGTCCTGAGGATCATAGTCAGTGTTTGACCTGTTGTTACTTACATGTACTTTACTTGGTTTAGCCAAGTAAATGTAAAAAGTACAGTACGCTCTTGCATTTTTGAGGAAAAATGAAATAGTGACGAATTGTTAAGTGGGAGGATAAACAATAACACTGATAAAGACAGCTGCTATTAGTGTTGATAAAAGTGTTTGATTTTGATTTCTCAATATTACAAGCCCATCAGGTTTTGCATCCCCTAGCCACTACCACTCACTATCCACCACCCCACCCCCCCCCCCAATGAACGCACTCCCCTAATTTGCAATTATTACTAGTAATACAGCCGACTCCCTATAACTCGAACCCTCGCTAACTCGAACGTCCCGCTAACTCGAACCAAACTCATTTCCCCTGGATTTCCGTTATACATTCACTGTAATTTTACCCTCGGTAACTCGAACCCTCGATAACTCGAACTCCCGCTAACTCGAACCAATTTTCGTTTCCCCTCAAGTCATTTTCTATATAATTGTACCCTCGATAACTCGAACCAAACTCATTTCCCCTGGATTTCCGTCATACATTCACTGTAATTTTACCCTCGGTAACTCGAACCCTCGATAACTCGAACTCCCGCTAACTCGAACCAATTTTCGTTTCCCCTCAAGTCATTTTCTATATAATTGTACCCTCGATAACTCGAACCATGTTTTGAAAAAAAAAAATCCGCCCACGGGCGTCCGAAACATTGAATTTTGGATTTCCTATTAACGTGTTGTAGGAGTATTGTTTACTAGCTAGTGGAGGCTGATGTTGATTGTCATAGGCTAACGTGAACCAGCTTTTCTCCTCAAACAATAAAACGCATACTCTATTTAGGCTGTGTTTTGTTACGTTGCGTTGACTTCTGATTTATAATCTGGAAGTATCTTTTAATTTTCACTTGACATTTCTGCTATTAAATGTGATTATAGAATGTTCACTGTGCAGTAAAAACTGTTTTTTACGTTACTCTCGGCTATTTTCTTCGAACTCCCGATAACTCGAAACTTTTTTCGATTTCCCTTGAAGGTTCGAGTTATCGGGAGTGGACTATATTTTGTAATCAGTTCCACGCAACAAACGCCCCGCTGAGGGCCCCTGGACAATTACAAGAGTCTCAAAATTCCCAAGCAAGGTCCTTGAACAAAAGTAATAAATTCCATGGTCGGAGCCTTTAAATGAGAAACGAAGCAAAAATAACAGAATCCCTCAGTTTTTAGTTAAAACCACAATCTAAGATAGATAGATAGATAGATAGATAGAAACTTTATTAAAGTGTCAAAAGCCGTCTAGCCAGGGAACAAATCCCTTATTAATTTGGGGACACCAATTAGGGGAGAACATACAAACTAAAAACTATATACAGTTGTAGGTAAAATATCTATAGTTAACTAATTAAGAGATTTATAGTAAAAATATACAGAAGTCAAAATGAACAAAGGCTACAGCCTGCGCAGCCATCATCTAAAAGTTCACTCATATTGAGTTGGCGTATCTTGCTTTTAAACGACGTTAGGGTTGTGACGTCCCTGATACTCTTGGGTAGTTTTGTCCATAGCCTAGGCCCTAGATATCTAATAGAGTGCTTGCCATAGGTGACTGTCTCATACCTAGGTATAGAGAAATCTGCTTGCCTCAGATTGTAATTACTATTTGGTTCTTTAAAGATGTTACTTATATATGCAGGGCACAGTTTATGCTTTACTTTATACATAAGGATGCACAGATCCTGTAAGCGACTATTTAGTAGTGTTGGCAGATCTGCCTTCTCTAATAGTTGTTCATAACTAGAATTATTATCCTTGAAAACCGCTCTAAGTCCTCTTTCTTGTAGTCTTTCAAGCTTTCGAGTGTCACTCGCTTTACAAAAATGCCACACTAGGTGACAGTACGTGAGGAATGGTAATATCGCGCTTTTGAATAATATTAACTTAGATTTCATAGAAATTAGATTACGTAGTCTCATTAGAACACCAATTCTCTGGCTGGCTTTTTTACAGATAGAGATTACATGCTCAGAGAAATTTAGCTTAGAATCTAACACTACTCCTAGAAGTATGATATTATCTTTAGTTTCAATCACAACATCATTCACGCAAATATTGCTGTCATTTTGAGTGAAGCCCAAGTTCAAAACTTGGTACTTTTTGAGGTTTCCCGCCAATAAGTTAGAATCGTACCACGTTGTTGCTAAGTTGGCACTATCCTTTAACTGGGAAGTCACAGCTGCCTGGTCTGCTCCTGCGTGGTAAATTTGATGGTCGTCGGCATACATAGACAAGTTCGCTGTTAGGCAGTGGGATAGGTCATTCTGGAAAACATTCCATAACAACGGGCCAAGCGCGGAACCCTGAGGACAGCCACGACTCACGAATCGGCTCGAACTAACATGACGGCCGATCTTTACTTGATATTTCCGTTCATTTAAATAGCTGTTTAAAAGTTGAATAGCGCTTTCCTGAAAACCGTACGCTTCAAGCTTGTTCAGAAGTAGTGGTGGGTGTAACGAGTCAAATGCCTTTGACATGTCAGTTGAAAGTATGCTCACAACCTGTTTTCGATCCCTCGCCAGTCTCCAATCTTCTACTAAATTGATCAATGTTGTTTCGCAGCTGTGAGCTTTGAGATAAGCGGATGAGTGTTGGTAAATGCGATTACCAAAGCCAGAGTTGATCTGCGCTCCAACCAACTTCTCAAGAACTTTACTTACACATGGTAAGAGAGTTATGGGCCGGTAGTTTTCCTTTGCATTTCTGTCATCCTTTTTGTATACTGGGGCCCAATGCCCATACTTCCATTCACTAGGCCATGCATTCTTGTTAATACAGGAATTGAACAAGGTGGTTAGTGGAGCGGATAATTCATTAGCACCTGTTTTTAAAGCCTTTGAAGGAATTCCATCAGTGCCGGTGGCTTTGTTTATGTTCAGCGAATCGAGAACTGCAAGGACTTGTCCCTGTGTAACCAATTCGATTTCAATGGTCTGAGTGGAATTCCTATTTTCATGTTGTATCCTCTGAACACAAGGATGCTATGGTCTGAGTGGAATTCCTATTTTCATGTTGTATCCTCTGAACACAAGGATGGTAAAAGAAAGCCTAATCTAAAGAAAGCCGAAGGCCGAAACGTTATTAAATCCTGTTGGACCTGCTAGAAGTTTGCGCCATCATTTTCTTCGTACACTAATCTACAAATTTACGTGGTGGCATTGTATCCTCTGGATCCTTCTGCTGGGAGTTCATCATTTGGTTAAACCTTTTTATTCTGCCTATAATGTAATTTTACTCTGTTTTCTTCCTTAGCGTTCTTGAAGGGCCGGGGTTGAATATAGATTGCCTATGATGTCGATGGTATCGAGTAGTATTGTTTTTATCATGCACTGCTCTGTCAACGCAATGTTAGAACCGCAACTTTGCAGGAATTATTTTGTAGCCTTTCTCATTGGCAATAATTCAGTGATCAGATTACAACCCAACTGTATTTTCTTGGGTACTGTATTTTTGGGAGTACCTAAATTGTAAAAAGTCACAGTTTGTTTACTTTTCCTTCCTCCAGAATCCATTTCCAATCTTTTACGCTTAAAAGATCTCAGTAAAGAAGTGACCGCAGAAATATCATGCAGACTCCAAACTGACCCAACTGCTCTGCAGCGATTTTATCAATGGTTTGGGCTTGATAACGAGAGAATGAGACCCACAGATCTGCAAAAAATCGGTGAATTGTTTCCAGACACCCCCGTCACGCTGTTAAGGGACGTTTTTGAGAAGTTGCAGTTATATGATCTCGTAGAATTGCTGGATAAAATAAAACCGCGCACGCTTCGTCCCGCATTCCCCTTGAAAGAAATGGAAAACCTTCTAAATGCCAGTGAACGCCCTACAAAGTTTTACAGCAAAGCAGAGGTCTTGATTATCGAGTACTATGGAAATGAAGTTGGTGAAGACTCCTGTGTTAAAAGAGGTGAAAGAATTGGTTCCTTTTTTCACGGTCTAAATTCACAGAGCCAAGTAAATAAAGTAACAGCGAAGATTCCCGACCAATTGCTTCAAGATCTGAAGAGGTTGACGGTTTCAAAACACTCTGGTGAAGTACGACGACTTCGGCAAAGGAAAGGCAGACGCGTAGGAGGACAAATGGCTTCTAGTACTAATACGAACAAGCAACAGTTGAGCAAGTTTACCAAAGAGGAACCAGTAATGAAAAGTGAAAGTCCGGAAAAGGTGACCAAGGAAAAACAACAAAGAAACCTCGAATTGGAGAAAATCCAGGGGGAGCTAAAACAGAAGGAGGAAGAGTTAAAAAGAGAACTAGAGGAAGAGAAAGAGAAATTCCAAATGGCTGTTTCAGCCGTTATGGACAAATGGATTTGCCAAGCGAATGATGAAGGTTAGTTTCTAAGGATAAAAAGAGCAAAAATGCATTATAACTGGCGCTGGCATTTTTTATCGCGATTAACTGTTTTCTATTGAAGTCTTTTCCACGTGGCAAATCAACATTTAGGATCGTAGATTTTCTAAACGTCCGTTTTGGGTGGTCCTCGATCGACTTGTGGCCAAGTCTAGAGAGATAGTTAAGAGGGAGAGAAAGGCTGTTCTATTCTATGTTTGGTCAAATATAGCTGACATAAAAGGAACCGAGCGTCGTTCGCATTTTCCAATATGTCTTTCAAAATCACTTCTCCTTACTTTCAATGGAACATACATATACATAGAGGTCAAAATTAGATTCAGGTTAAATTTTTTAAAAACTAGGTTGATTCTCTGTTTATCTCTTGGCCCTAATTTACGGGCTAGGAGACAAATGAAATAGAGAATCAATTAAAAAACCTAGGTTAAAAATTTCAATCTGAATTTAATTTTGGCCTGTAACATATACACTAACCCCATGATAGCCATTCATAAGTACAGTCTATCAGACCATTCCAATACGACCCCCGAATCTCTGGCGCCAAAAGTTAAATGAACCCCCCAACCTTTATTAAAATTCGCACCCCTGTGACTGGTCTTGATATCAGTGAAGAGATACTTGATATACAAGTTACTCTGATGAAACATTTTGTCAGACTGGTGAATGCAGGTGCATCTGTGTACACACGTTCGGTCTTTTTTTGTTGTGTACTTTGTTGGTTTGCATATAATTGCTTGAAATCACTATGTAAAATAGATCAATGGTCATTCAAGTCAGCCCTTAACCCGCTTCTAGTAATACTATTATCTATTAACTAGCCTAATTAGGAGTGATACAGGAAATGTGACCAGAGTAAAATACTGAAGGAAGGAAGGTTCATGATCCATATTTTTCTTTACAGATGGGGGTTCCACCCTTTTTGTAGTGCTTCAGAACAAGAGTTTCCCAGTCTACAGCCATGAAGTTCAAGGATTTTTAAAGACGACACGAGGATATTTGACCGAAAAATTGAGACTCATTCCAAACACGAAGCTAGTAATAGAAGATAACGATGTGTTGGCACGTGGGGACAATAAAGTAATTCCTCAAGAAAGTCTTATGATATGGCTGGATGGGAGATCAGAGTCAGATTATGCCACAGTTTTAGAGTTATTGAACAAGCGTTGGAAGACATTGGACCTTATTTCAGTGTTTCGGGAAGCACAAAGGACTTTGTCTGTCAAGCGGAGGACTCTCAATAAGAATCCCTTCAATGAACGTTTGAAACAAGTGCCCAAGTCTTATCCTGTGAATCGATTTGCCCATTATGATCTTGCTTATCCTTCTGTCGATTTTCGGCCCTATCAATATGTCCAACGCTCCAGAGATTCATGGAACCTTTATCCTTGGGATTCATTTGTTGTAGATGAAAATTTGTCTTGTCTTCCAAGACTTCAAAAGAGGGAGCAAAAGTCGGAGCCAAGTGAAATATACATGTGACTGAGGCAACGTACCAGCTTCATCACCATTGAAAGCTGCCATATTGAACCATGTTTCGACTCCAATATTTAGGGTGGGGTGTGGTGTGTTGCTGTTACTGCACGGTTGTCGACAGTCTTATCCTAAAAAGAATATCTTGAGAAACAGTGCTTAAAATGAGTAATGGAAATGTACAGATTAATGCGCACAATATGTTCAGTCAGTTCACGTGGAATTTATCCGGTCCCAAGGCAAACAAAGTTTAAATGTACGATAGCACGTATCGGTGCAGACGCATCTGATCGGTCTCAAGAAGTTTAATGCCTGGGTCAAAGGTGTTTTCGGAGCATTATTGATTGATTGGCAACATCTCTCGCTAGAAGACCTAAAACAATATGAATTTTACCCCAAAAGTAATTCTTGAGGGCTTCTTGTGCCTTTAAATTTAAATTACGGTCACATGACATGTCACGTGACCAAAAATCAAAAATGAAGGGAATTGGCAAATTGATGGCGAATTTACTTTGTTTGGATAAATAAATTGGCGTTTCTGATAGAGGATTAACATGCCTCACCTTCTACGTTTGGAATAAATGTACGCGAAGTTTAAAATTAAAGTTTTAAATCATTCATTCTTAAATTTGGGCATTTAAAATAATGTTTTCCGTCATCATTTTTTATTGAAGTGCAATGGATAGTCATTCTAAACGTGAAGTGTTGGAAATATTCAAATGAATATGAATGAGAAAAATGTGATTGCTTCATTTCTTTTCTTAAACCCACCACCAATCTGTCCATTACTTAAGATTTTTAGCAAAAATAGCCAAGTGACTTATTGACAGAATATTCATACTTCAAAATGTTAAGGACTATGACTTCTTTATGTGTGCCAAATTTTGATTCAGCTCCATAATGTGCCTAAGT